CAGTACTTAAATTCTATAGAATTTGATTAAGGATTGAATATGTGATAACTTTTGCCGCTTGAGAAAAGTTTTTATTTTTCAAATTATGATTCTTTTATTTTTATTTCCACAACGTGTGTGATGATAAATGCTTGACAGGTAGAATTTGTAACAATAAAGAGAAATAGAATACAAATTTCAAAAGAAAAATAGAGAGAAAAAACAAATACGGTGAGAAGTTAAAAAAGGAAGTATAAAAATCGTTAATTTTCACTTAACCAAGCTAGTTCAATCTGGTTCATTTAAATGCTGACCAATATGAAGCAAATCAACTGACAACATAAATAACATATTTTTACTAGGATTTATTTTAATTAGATCATTACATTTCGTCTTTTATATTACAACTAATTATTTCTTTTATCATATATATATATATATATATAATATATATATAATCATAATAAAACTAGTATATATAATTCTTCCATATTTTTATTTTATTTCTTATCTATCACCTCCTCCCTTTTCACTCTCATTTTATTTAATTTTTTTATTATTTAAATAAAATATATAAAGACACATAGTGTTTCTTTTTCACTTATATTAATTAATTTTTATTTCTTTTTCACTTGTATTAATTAGATTTTATGACAAAAATAATTTTAAATTTATAGTAATATTTAGATTTGATATATTATTTGGTCTCTAAATTTTTATAATTAATTAGGTTTCTAAAATAATAAAATTTGTAATTGGGTCTTTCATCATTTTATAAGTTTGTAATTTAATATTGTAAGACCCACTTCTTTTCCCCTTCCCGCTGAACCTTTTTCTCCCTCACTCGCATTCTCTCAAACTCTCTCATTTCTCTTATCTCACTCTCAATCTTCACCCTTTTCACTTGGACCTTCCTTTTGGCTGCTACTAGGTGGTGGAACTGAGTGAAGTGGATTGCTAACTGGTGTTGAAGTTCTCTATTCTCCTTTCTCGTGTTCAAGCTTCCTTCGTTTTCTCTTTGGGTTCTCCTCGGAAGCTCGGAAATCTTCACCCGAGGTAAGGGAAGTTAGTTTTCGGGTTGTGGTTTGGTTGAAATGAGTCTGAGGACTCAGGTAGTTGGTGTTGATTTTCAAATTTCTGGCTGTTGGGTGTGGCATTTGAGTTTTGGGGACTTTGGGGATTTTTGGGGAAACTTTTGATTTCTATGATTTTGTGGATGCATGTATGAGGAGAGGGCGTTTTTGAACTCTTGGATGGAAATGTGATACTTTGGCTGGATTACATGTACTTGAAAGTGACTTTTACAGGTGTTTGGGGAAATTTTTGAACTTGGTAGGGTCGCAGATGAGCTTCGCGCTGAGCGCTGTTCATCGCGCTGAGCGCGTGACCTCCAGAGGACCTCATTTAGCCAAGCTCGCTGAGCGCCTTGATGAGTGCGCTAGGCGCGCTTGAGAATGTGGTCTCTGGTTGGCCCTCGCTGGGCGCGACTTGGACTACGCTAAGCGCGATACCCATTGTAACTTGTTGTTGGGCTCTAGAGGCTGCGCTGAGCGCGGCCCTTGTCGCGCTGGGCGTGAGACTCCTTGGGAGTCTCTGCCTCGTGGGCGCTGGGCACAATTCCGAATTGCGCTGGGCGCGAGACCAAGGGATGGTCTCTGCCTACCCTGCGCCGAGCGCTGGGTTAGGTATGCCGGGCGCGGGAGACTCCTTGAAGTCTCTGCCTGGCCTGTGCTGGGCGCAATGGATATTGCGTCAAGCGTGGGAGAGCCTTGTGCTCTCTGGCTAAGTCCCGCTGAGCGCGAGCATGCTTGCACTGGGCGCGCTGGCCTTGGGGCTCTCTGGTTGTACTGCGTTGGGCGCAACTACGAGGGTGCTGGGCGCGGAGATGAGACATTTCTTTATATGTATTGAATTATGTTGTTCTATATTGAGTAGAGTTGCAGTGGATAACTATCAATGATAACTAGTATATAAATGTTGGTTGATTTATGTTGAGTAGCAAGGTTGTGTTGTGTTGCAAGTTGATGTTGAATGGTGTAGTTGTGTAGTGTTGCAAGTTGATGTGTTGAGTCGTATAGTTGTGCAGTGTTGTTATTGACTGAGTTGTTGTAGGCCTTAATGGCTGAGTTGTTGTAGGCCTTAATAGCTGAGTTGTTGTAGGCCTAAATGGCTGAGTTGTTGTAGGCCAAAACGGCTGAGTTGTTGTAGGAGATCTCCAAGGTGATAAGCGTGACGACGCATTACTATCTAATTTGCTGGTTGGTAGTATAAATTGATGGGTAGTAGAATGTTGTTGTGTTGGCGGTTGAAGTTGTTCTAATTACTTGAATTTTGTTGTACGTTGTTTCTTTCTTTACTAGCTTACCCTTTTCTGTTTTCTTGTAGTTGGACTGCTATGATCGTATTATGTACGGGAGCAGAACAGGAATAGGTGTTTTGGTTCGTGGTGAGTCGGCAGCTGATAGGCGGAGCTGGCCCTTTTTTTTATGTCTTGTTGTAGTAGCTACTAGATGTAGCGATTGGCGATGTATTTCGTTTTGATTGAATGTTTTTGATACACTCTAACTCTAGTCGGATTGAGGCTTTGTATATTTTTATATTCTAGACCCTATAATTATATACTTGCTCTTTCTGCCTAGTGTTTCTGGTGTTCAGTACGTTGTGTAGGACCTATCGGGTCGTTACAAATATTCTTGAGATTATAGGTGAGACTACAATCTGTGAAGTTTGACAGTGTATTTTTTATATTAATACTTGAAAAATCACATAAAATTATTGTTTTATGTTATCATCTTCCATGTGTATCAAATTGCAATATCTACTTGTTAAAATTTTTTAGCATTCAAGAATTCCTATGATTATGGGAGTATGGATTAAAAATTAACATATTTGAATGATGACACGGGATAATAATGAAATGTGACTATCTAGGTATAAAGATATATATATAAAAAAAATATTCTATGAAATTTCACATATCTATAACTTGAAGAATTAAATTATAAAAATATAAAAGATAAAAAGCTACTTGGTTACTATCTTTTAATTCAGGATCTATAATTAAAATTTTCTAAAAAATTTCATGAACCAACTAATGTATCTATAACATTATATAATTAAAGAGGATATCCTCTTTGTAACTACATTTAGTTTCAATTTTAAAAAATGAACCATTTTATCTTAGTTATTTATTTGTTTATTTTTCACTAGAGATTATTTTTTTCAAATTATTTTATCTAGTTTATTTTCTCTTTCTTCTCTCCCTAATCCTAAACATACTATTTTGAATAACTATTCACTATTATTATTTTATTTTTTTGGCTTAAATATGTTTTTAGTCCCTCAAATTTAAGACAAATTTGTTTTTGGTCCCTCAAATTTAAAACTGTTATTTTTAGTCTCTGTAATTTTCAAAAATCTTGTTTTAGTCCCTTAGGTCACCAATAACATATTTAAAAATGACTAATTAAGAATGTTATGCAATATCAAACAGATTTAATGTGATATTTTCACTAATAGGGACATCAATAGATAGATTTTATGCAATAATATTTGATAAATTTCTTAACAAAATTTGAATATAAGGACTAAAATAAGATTTTTTAAAATTATAGGGACTAAAAACAACAATTTTAAATTTGAGGGACCAAAAATAGATTTACCCTAAACTTGAAGGACTAAAAACATATTTAAGCCTATTTTTTTTATCTACTCACACTCATATAATAATAATCTACTTTATTATTTCTTTATTTATTTTTATTTCAATATGTCTAAAAGTCTCATATCATTTAATAGTTGAGACTAATGGTAGTTTATAATCACACTACTCCTTTCTTAACCTATTAAGATACCATTTTAAGGACAAAATCATAATAATTGAATGAAGGATAAAGTGGACAATATCTAGGACATGGTGGCTTTAATGATACCAATGAACTTACGATTAGAACATTGGTGTTAAAAGGAGAGTTTAGGTTACTCTTACCCTTAAGTCTTGGCTGATAAACTTGTTTTAATATATCTAAAAGTCTCACATTACTTAATAGTCGAGGTCAACTAGAGTCAAAATAAATAATATCTTAGACCCAGCTATGATTGAAATTTTTTTTTTTAAATTTTTTAAGAAAAATTAAGAGGCACGTGGTACCTTTCCCCAACTAGTAAAAAATATTCTATATAACATTATATAAGAGGGATACCTCTCTTTATAAGTCTATTTGATCTTTATTTTTAAACGGACCATTTTACCTATTATTTACTTATTTGTTTTTTACCTTAGATTATTCTTCCAATTTCTTTTATTTTGTTTCTTTTCTCTCTCTTCTCTACCTAACCCTAAATATTGCATACTCTTTTGAATAACTACTTACTAATAGTATTTTAATTTTTTTATCTCCTCACACTCTTTTAATAATTACTTACTGCATTATCTAATTAATATTTTTAAAAGAATTAAGACGAAATGTCTCTTATCTGACTAGTTAAACCTAAAATTTATACACTTCTTTTTAAAACATACATTTATTTAAAAAAATAATTAATAAATAAATAAAATTTCCTATCATAAATTTGTTTATCATTTATATTATTTTACTTTATTTTTAATCGATAAAAATATATCTAATTGATGGAAGACTTAAAAGTTGACCCAACCTATAAGTACTATTTTGGCATAATCTATATGCAAGACTTAAAATTTTCCAAATAGATATTTTTTTATATAATGGAACGTATAAATAAAAGGGATCAAATAGTCAAATAATTAAATGCAGGAGTAACCTTTTATTCTCTTTCTTGTAACCACCATGCTCACCACAAGACCATGTCCACCCTAAAATTCAAGAAATTAAATACGTTTTCTTACACTCATTAATTTTATATGATAAAAAAAAAAAAAAAAAACCAATATTCAATCTTTGAACACAAACATCAAACAAAATTTTCACACGTTACACTCCCTCAATTGACACCCTTTATTCCTCCACAACATCATCTCCTTTGTACTAATAGTAAAATCTTTTGATTCTTTCCCTTCTTATTTCAATCCCCAACATTTTTCCCCTCTAGCTTCAGTTTCTACTACCTCACCACCACCTAATTTCCTCCTAAACCTCGTGTCTCACACCATCACAAACTCTCACTCTATAAAAACACACCCGCACAACACCCATCCACACTCACTTCCATTTCCCTCATGGAGTTTCAAAGACCCCTTTTCCTCTTGTTTCTCCTCACCCTTGTCTCAAGCTCCCAAGCCCTCAAATTAAACGTTGGTGGAAACCAAGGGTGGGTTCCAAACCCTTCCGAGAGTTACAACAATTGGGCCGGAAGAAACAGGTTCCAAATCAACGACTCAATAGGTAACAATAATTTCTAACTAATTAAAGCTACCACCACATACCCACATAGGTTTTGAGTTTCCATCATGCAAAAAGATGAGATTTTTAGCGTTGGGCAACGGTTTTAATTGATGGGTGTGTGTGTTTTTTCATGCTAGTTTTCAAGTACAAGAAGGGTTCGGACTCGGTGTTGGAAGTGAAGAAGGAGGATTACGACAAGTGCAACAAGAGCAACCCTATCAAGAAGTTCGAAAACGGTGACACGGAATTCAAGTTTGATCGTTCAGGACCATTCTACTTCATTAGTGGAAAAGATGGAAATTGTGAAAAGGGTCAAAAATTAATTGTTGTAGTTTTGACCCCAAGAACACCACCATCACCAAAATCACCAACACAACCACCAAAGATTTCACCTTCACCGTCGCCAAAGCCAAACCCACCAACCGTGTCGCCGCCGTCGCCGCCAGCCACCTCACCGTCTCCGGCCATTTCTCCGGTGCCTTCCGCCGCACCTCCGGCGAATTCTCCGGCCCCGGCCGGCGGACCCACGGCAAATTCTCCGGGGCCGGCGAGCATAACTCCGGCAGGGGCCCCCACATCTACACCGTCAACCTCCCCTCCGGCGCCGGCACCGGAGACGGGGACCCCACCACCGGCACCGGGTTCATCACCGCCGGCGCCGCCGGGAGCAAATCCGACGCCGGCACCGTCGTCTAATTCAACCGGGCCATCACCGTCGTCAAATTCAACGGCGCCGTCACCGAAAAATAGTGGATCATGTGTGTCTCCTTCAATTGTGTTGGTGTATTCGCTTACAATTGTTGTTGGGTCTGTGTTGTTGCGTTATTGATCAACCGTTTTGGGTTGAATTTAAAACATACATTAGTGAGATGTTTTGTATTTTGGAGTTTGATATTGTTGTTTTTAATTTGATTTGGACATGGTTTAGTAGCATTATTGTTCTGTGATCGTGAGTTTTACATTGGAATTTCACTCTGATACATGATTTATTGTAGCATGATTTATGGAACTTTAGCTTCTGGTGCCATTGTTGTGTCATTTTCACTTATCTTTGTACATGTGAAGACTCTTAGTTGTCATCTCAGACTTTTACATATTGGAATAAGCATTTAATTTGATGTTTGGAAATATTCATCCAATAAAGTTTAGTTTCTAAAAATAAGATTAATTAATTAAAATATTTCATATTTATGTAATTTAAAAATAATTCATTTCTTTTTGAGGACTTTTAAGTAACACGATTTTCAGAAATCAATTTGAATATTTGCTTTAAATACTACTAATTTCAGTTATACAGATAAAAAAAAATCACGCTAATTAAATATATCATTTAATATCTACTAATCTCATCTGAAAAAATATAGTAATTTATTTTTCTAAATTATTCTTCTTTAAAATTTTATATCAAGAATAAAAAAAATATTAAAAATACAATCTCAATTAAATGAATCAAAAATATATTTTGGAGATAATAGCATCAAATAAAATGAGATTAATTGAAATTTGTTTAACTAACATTGATTGATATAAGTATTTAAGACTCATGTCTTTTATCCTTTTGTTAAAAGTTCGAATCCTAACTTTAAATATGGAATAATCTATATATCGTGTCTTTTATCCTTTTTTTATGAATACCAATATAATGATTATTAAAAAGGAGTTCAAATATAATAAGAATATTCATTATTAATGTATTTTTTTTGTTAATAAAAAAATTACAAAAAGGAGTCTAATATTTTGTTTCCATACTAGCTGGTAGGGGTGGCAAAATGGAAAAAAAAAATTGCATTTTCTTTTGTATTTTTTAATGGTATGCTAGCCGATCCGCTGGCCCATCAACTCACCTTTAGGTAGGACAAACCAACATTTTTAACTTATTTTTCAATGACAGACTGGTTCAGCTTGACCCGTTTTCGATGGATCACTGACGCGTCGAGTCAAAACGGGACGGATTGACCCATTTTGTCATAAATCTAAAATATATTTTCTATATTTAAAAATATTTATGTATATTAATTTTAAATATGATATATATATTTAAATATAATATTTATTTATATATATAATTTATTATAAATTTTAATTATATTATATATAAAAAACATATCTGTGCTAATTTAATTATTGTAAAATTTTTAAGATATTTTTTTATTATTACAAGTACTGTTTTATAAAATAAATATACAAAATAACAGGTGTAGTATTATATTTTCAAAGACAGCAGGCATAATTAATAATCAATCTCATTATAAAGTAAAAAGGAAATAATGTTCTTATTCGTAATTTAAGTTTTAAAAAAACTTAGTAAGAAAAAAAGAAAGTACATTAGTACAAAATGTGTTCGTTGTTCGTTAGGTATGACCGTCTGATTATTATCACATGATAGCGGAAAAGTTAAAAGTATAATCATAATTCCTTCCCGAAAATTTATGACTTCAAAAAACCTGAAGTCCTGTTTTTATTAAAATATGGTTTAATAAAATAAAATTAACTTAAATATAATTTTAGTCGAGAATTTTTAATTTTATTTATATAATTCTTTTTATCTTTCTAAAATTTTTACACTTTTTTTTATAAAATATTTTTTATCTTTATAAAATGAGTATATTAATAGCGCTTATTTTAAGGATTTATAAATATAAAAAATTAGAAATGTCACACATTTTACAAGTATCAAAATAAAAATTGTTTATTTAATATGAATTAAAAATATATTTAGCAAAAAATATAACACTACGTTTGTTGGTAGTAGTGGACAAACTTCAATTTGATAAACTTTCTTTTTCTTATTTTAGACCCCCAAGAATATGAGAGTGAGATTCTTGTTAATAGAAACATTTTAAAGTGATGAGACAAAAAAATTGAGCGTATTGGTGCAAATAACCCGAGGTTGTTTTCTTCTTCCTTCTTCCTCTCTTCCTCTTTGGGTCAACCCAAATTTAAGGTATGGGAAGGTAGAATTTGTTTGTTGAAAGATTATGGTGTTCTTGTACTTGAATTATTGATTAAATGCTTGTTGGTGTGATGAATTGGATTGGGAGTTGAAGATTTAAATAAGCTAGGTGTTCTTGGCAAAGGATGAGGCAATTCTTAACTTGTTTGCAATTGGGTAATTGCATGTGGCTTTTTGTGTGATTTCTAAATTGTAGGATGAAAAAAGATTTTAAATTCGGAGTTGCATGTCTGAAAAAATTGGTAGTAGATGAGAATATTTGAAGTTGTATATGGTTCTTGAAGTTGTTGCATTGATTCATGAATATGCAGGTTTCTTGGTTTGCTCGCTCAGAGCGCCTATATGGTAGATCGCTCAAAGCGAGCGAGAGTGATCAGGTTAAGGATAGTCTATGACTTGACTTGCTCAGAGAAAATCGTGATCACTTAGAGCAAGTTTCGATGGCTTAAAGCCAGGACTCACTCACTTAGAGCAAGTGGAGGTGGAAGTTCAGGGGTAGTTCCTAACTTTGCTCACATAAAGGGAATTAAAAGAGCGCTTTTAAGAAAATTCGATCACTCAGAGTGAGGGCGATGTCGCTTCAAGCAACTAGATTGAGACTCTAGGGGTATTCTTTGTCTAGGTTTGCTCCAAGTGAGTTTCTTGATGCTAAATTGAAATTGTGTCGCTCAAAGCAAGAATCTTGGACGCTTAAAGCGCTAGCATCAAGTTCTTTCTTTATTGTATGAGTTGGATGTTTTTACAGAATGAAAGTTCAATTTAATACCTTATATGTTGATTATACATTGATTTGGGATACTGTATGGTGATGATTTATAATTTCTTACAATTAAATGTTGTGTGGTGAACATGAATAGAGTGTTCAAGCCTATTGCATGTTATGTGATGTAAAATGATGACAATAGGCATTGGTATGTTATATTTGTATAGTTGAAATGGTGATGAGCATTGATATGCTATGTATGATTGTTATACTATAACATTGGTATGTTGTACTTAAGTCACATGTTGAGCATTGGTATGTTATTCTTAGTTGAGGTGTTAAACATTGGTATGTTATAAATGGTTGGTGTGATTTGATCTCTATATGCATTGACCTAAGGTCATATGTATATAAAAAATCTATAATGAGGTGTTGATGTTAAGAATGTTGTGGGCATTAAAGCATATTTATTTACTTAGAACTAAATAAGAGAATGTTATTTGGAAAGTTGAAGATCTCACATAAGGAATCTTGTTTTAGCACTTTAGGAGGCCAATTGTTGAAAACCCTCCTTAAGTAGGTATGAAACTCTTAAAGTGGATTTTGTTGAGTCTTCTTTGACCCTTAGTCAATGTGGAGTGATGTATGAAGTCAAGTTCTACAACCCTTAACTAATTACCAAAAAAAGCTGTGTGGTTCCTTGCAAATAGTTAGTAGGTTAACTCCATATGTGACTTGGTAATACATGTTAAGGTCGTAGTACACCTATACCCAGTTATATTAGTTTTAATGATGGAATTGGAATTTCCTAATGTAAGTGGCAGCAACCAAGAAATCAAAGGAAGGATTGGTATCTCATTTTAGTTGTGGATCCAAGAAGCGCATATGGAATGAAAGAGATTAGGGTTGATTCGGTAGGGTCAAGCCACTTAGACTATCCTAGTGTATTAGGAGATCTCTATTGGTAAATGCGAGACGATGCATTAGTTGTGGTGTGTGCATATGATGTGGAGTTAATATTGTTCATGTGCAAGGTATAAATACCTTGATGTGGGGTATGTTTGTGGTGAATGTTTGACTGACTTGGGTGTTTTACTTTTAAACATGTTGGATGTTTTATTGATTGTTAGACAATGTAAACCATGAGTTGTTGACTTGATGGTTTGAATGTTGGTGAGTAGTATAGATGTTGCATTCCTATACTTGTATATTTTTTAAATCTAGCTTACCCTTCATGTTTTCCTTGTAGAAGGATTAGAATGATCATACTTTGCATAAGATCATAATAGGATAGGTCGGTAGGGGTGAGTAGTGGAGGTCATCAGGAGGATGGTGGTGCTTTTGGATCTTTTGGGCTACCTATGGTAGTTGTATACAGTTCTTAACTAGCACTTAAGATCTTATATTGCTTTTATATTAGATGATTATACATGTACTATATATATTTGTAAAGTGATTTTTAGTTGCTTATACATAAATACATGTTATAATGTACATATCCAATTTATTTTGGATATAAATCCTTTCGTACGAGTTAGTTTTATTGTTAATATTTATGATCCATAAGTGTGACAATCATGACATATCATTACAAAAAGAATATTTTATAAAAAATAATTTTTCCTTAAATCATCTCTAAATAAAATATATTTTGATTTGTAGAATTTTAAATTATCTAATAATTTTCATTTTTATTAGAAAAATATTTTATCAATCATATTGTTTTTTCCTTTTTAATATTATAGGAGAATATTCATTTTGTATGTGTTTACGATCTCCAATAGAGCAATAAAAATTTATCGTTATCACTTTTAACAATAAATATTTCATACCAACCAATATCCTAATTATTTAAAAAAAAACATATTTTTTTTTCTTTCAACAGAAAAATATTAATACCGTTATTGATATACAAACTATATTATTATATTATATATTTTTTGCTTTTAGTCCTCGCTGTCCTCGCTATCGTCGTGTCAACTTCTTAGAATTGTTCAAAATGAAAACAATAGTATTTTATTGTGTGTTGAGAGGCACCATGCATTACCCGATACTTGACAATGAATAGCTTATAGCTACCATGATTTATGCTGTGGACCATCCATATGCACAATTTTGGAAACTAGTCCTGCTTATGCTACTTTACCACTCAGAAAATTTACAATTTTTGAGAAGCAAAAATTATATTTTTTAAGCTTGTGGTATGTATACTTTGTGAGAGATACAAGAAAAAAAATATTTAAAAATATAATAAGTAATACAAACTGACAGGAAGAGAATAAAAATAAAATAAAATAATGAAAAAAAAAATACCATATAAATGTATGAGTTCTTTGAGAAGTAACTTTTGGGTGTGAGGAAAAGCCAGAAC